GGAGAAACAGGCTTCCTGCGGAGCCAGGAGCCCAATGCCGGGCTAGATCCCAGGACCCTGGGATCATGACCTGAGCCGAAAGCAGACGATTAATGACTGAGCCTCCCAGGCGCCCTGATTTGACACACAATTATCAACCAAAGGCTATCTATGAGACTATATACTTAAGACAGTAATAATATGGAAAAGTAAACCACTACTGTTGTAGCTAATATTTATTGAGCATATCCCAGGTGCCAGATATTTTTCTAAGCACATTATTTGTGTAACTCAGTGAATCATGTCAATAACCCTACCCCAGGCAAGGCTAGGTATGTCACATTAAAAAAGGAAGTCCCAAACCTCTGAGACATGATTACAGCAAAGATTTTTATTTTATTTTATTTTATTTTATTTTATTTTATTTTATTTTATTTTATTTTATTTTATTATTTTATTTTATTTTATTTTATTTTTTATTCTATTCTATTTATTTATTTTTAAAAATTTTATTTATTTTAGAGAGTGAGTCAACAAGAGACTGAACATGAGTGGAGGGAGGGGGTAGAGGGAGAGGGAGAAGCAGACTCCCCGCTGAGCAAGGACCCCGATGCGGGACTCAATCCCAGGACTCCAGGATCTTGACCTGAGCCGAAGGCAGACGCTTAACCCACTGACCCACCCAGGTGTCCCCAAAGATTTATTTTAGTAATGTCATAATTCTCTTTTTAAAAAAGTTCTCAACACAGAAGTATACATCATTTGCACACACACACACACACACACACACACACATTCTAACTCCATAGTCATGATCTGGACTCTGTCAAATTTTGAGTGCCTTAGCTCAGACTGATGTGAGAAAGTATCATAAACTGGATGGCTTATAGACAAAAAACATTTATTTCTCACAATTCTGGAGACTGGGAAGTCTAAGATCAAGGCTCCGGCAGATGCAGTGTCTGGGGATAACCTGCTTCTTGGTTCATCTTCCCACTGAGTGTTCACATGGCAGAAGGGGGAAGAAATCTCTCTGGAGTCTCATATGAGGGCACTAATCCCATTACGAGGACTCTGCCCTGAGGCCCTAATCACTTCACAGAGACCCCATCTCCTAATACTATTACATTGAGGATTTCAGCATAGGAGTTTGGGGAAGGGGGGAGATGCTTAGTCCATAATACTGAGTTTAAGTTAAGAAGTAAAAGTAAAAGTAAAAGTAAAAGTAAAACATGACTATTGTAAAGAAACTATAGATATATAGACTTTTTTAAATCACAAGGTTATATTTATATATATAATATATGCAATATATATGTAATATACATATAATATATGTAATATATATCACAAGGTTATATATAATATATGTAATATACATGAAATATATAATATATGTAATATATATCACAACGTCATATATATGTAATATATATCACAAGATTATGTATATAATATATGTAATATATAGGTAACATATATATCACAAGATTATGTATGTAATATATATGTAATATATATCACAAGGTTATATATATATGTAATCTATATATAATCTATATGTAATCTACATAATATGTGTAATATATACACACACACATTCTGAGAGAATGGACTCCTATTTGTGATTTATGACAAATGCTCTAAGCCTGCTTTGTATTGAGCCTGTGTTGGAATGTGTCTATTAAAATCTCTGAGATAATTATTACTGACCTTAAGGCAATCCTTCAAAATAAAAGTGTAGCCATACCTCCAGGTAGCATAGACATTAATTTAATAATATTCTTTCCTCACCACATTAGGTTGATTTAAGGTAGGAAATAAAATATTGCTTCAGGCAAATACCTAAAGTCAATTTTGTGAATGACCAACCCTCAGTGTTCATAAGACACAGGAGATTGAACAGGGAATAAAAATTTAGAGATGGACACGCAATAAAAGTTTTTAAAAGGAACTGTGGCTCAAGTAGGCTAAAATAAAACCTTGGAGTAAGAATTCAGAATGTTCACATGAAAACCCAAAAGAAAAAAGGGGAATAAAAAAGGCATATCTGAAACTTCTAGATCTAATGAATATGATTGTTTCTAGATTTGAAGTAAAGAATGAAGATGGCAGTAATTCTGGAAAAAAAACCATCTAATCTCTAATATTTCTGGAAGCCATTCAAAGAGCTAAAGGAGTTTTACATTTGCACTATAAATTGCCACTAATTTATGAATTTTAGACTTCAGAAGAGGAGATTTTACAAAGCAATCCATGCTATCAATTAGACAGAATTTTGATATGTGGTGTCAAGTCCCACTGGCAGAAAAACTGGCGGACGGGTGGGAACCTGTCAAAGAAATTTTATTTGAAAAAATAATAACATCCATTTTATTTATCAGGGTGGTGTTAGCATAACATAAATAATTTTTATGGTAAGAAATGGTTCAACGGAGGTGCCTGGGTGGCTCAGTAGAGTTGAGCGCCCGACTCTTGGTTTCAGCTCAGGTCATGACCTCAGGGTCGTGAAATCCAGCCCCACGATGGACACCTCGCTCATCGGGGAGTCTACTTGAGGATTCTCTCTCCCTCTCCCTCTGCCCCCCTCCTTGGGTCTCTCTCTCTCCTTCTCAAAATAAATAAATAAAATCTTAAAAAAAAAAAGAAATGGGGGCGCCTGGGTGGCTCAGTTGGTTAAGCATCTGCCTTCAGCTCAGGTCATGATCCCAGGGTCCTGGGATCGAATCCCGCATCGGGCTCCCTGCTCAGTGGGGGAGTCTGCTTCTCCCTCTGCTCCTTCCCCCTGCTCATGCTCTCTCTCTCTCAAAAATAAATAAATAAAAATACTTAAAAAAAAGAAATGGTTCAACCTATGTTTTATTTTCAGATTAAACAAGGGGTTAAGAACAGTGACTTTATGTAGAGACACTCAATAAGAATTATTTTTTGTTACTGTCACCAGTCCCAGAACTATCATCATCATGTCAGCAAGACATTTCTGGGGTAACAAGAAATAAAGCATCCCTGGCATCCTACGTTCCCCCTGGAACTGGTGCTGAGTGGGTGTCTGTAAATCATTATCTCCAACAAGTTCTCTCATTTGGTTGAGTTCAGAAAGTGTATGTTGTGAACGACCAGTGGAAACGTTTGAGACTTTAGAAAGATCCTAAATAGGAAATTCCCATGGTTCCAAGCCACTCCGGCTCTACACCCGCAGCGCCGTCCACCTGGGCTCACTTCTGTACTCTGTCTTGCCTACCAATTCCCATTCATCCTCAGGATGCCGATTAGATGTAATCTCCAGGCTGTCCTCTCCCACTTAAGAGTCCCTCCCTGTGCCTACCTACCACTCGCTCGCTGTCATTCCTTCTAATCCAGTGCCTGACTCTGTGCATATAAAATTTTTCCACGAATTGTTCCCTCCACTCTATGTTCCTCACACATAAAAAGTGTAAGGGGCATGATTTTTGCCTCTCCATCCCCAGCACCTAATTCAGAATGGAAAACAGTAAGTATTCATTGTGGAAATTTGTTCAGGGCTTAGCTATTAACACAAAGTGAAGATCATCCTACTAAGCCCTAGTAGGAGACATAATTTTACTTCCTCAAACACAACACTTGTATTTATTTTTCACCTAAAAATACTTTGTAACCTTAAGAATATCAAGCAGATTTGTCCTCAACTGCCCCTCCCAGACCTTGAATCACCTGTCATGTCCTATTGATTACACATCTGAAATATTTCACATGTATTCCCTCCTCCCCATTTTCTCTGCACTGACTTGGTTTAAGAACTTCTAAACTGGGTTCTTACTTTCCTAAAAGCCTCCTGATTAGTCTTCTTTAAGCATGGATTTTTCCCTTTTCCATACTGCTGCCAGGGTAATTTTTCAAAGTAATGAAGTAATTCTATCACTCCCGGAATCAAAGTCATCCCACGGAGACTCAGTGACTTTGAGGTGAAGTCCAAAGCCCTTAGAGCTTCAATAATTTTCCGACTGAAACGTGAACAATTCTTTTCGATCCCTGACACCCTGGTCCTTGGGCACGTGGTAGGCAGTTCAGGTGTATTTCTCATTAGTTACCCCAACAGCCACACGGAGTGGGGACCCATGCTGTCCCGTGACTGCCTCTCTGCACTAAACATTTCATTGAAGAAATCCATCAATTTTTCCTAGATGACATAACGCTTTCGATTTGTTTCCTGAATGGTTATGGAATTTGAAAACACCTCGTTAAAAAAAATAATTGATTTCGCCAACGAATCTCTCAAATCTTTTTGCCTACAGATTAAAGACTTTTCAATATTTTCCATGTATTTTGTCTTTAAGTATGACATATCTTCCCTCTGCTTTGTCTGCTTCCAGAACTCTATATAAAAATATCCTCTCTCTCTCTCTCTCTTTCTCCATATTCATTTTGCCTCATATTTTTATACTTTTGTAATTTTCTTTAATGTTCTCTGACAAGTTTTGGAGCATTTATTTTAATATACAGGCTAGAATTTCTTCATTGTCTAGTCTGGTCAACACTGCCACCATTACTTAAATTCACTCAGTGATCATATTTCCCCCTGCCAAGGACATATTCTTAAGTTGTTTCTTAACCTTTTAACAATTCCTTCAGATCTCAGTGCTCTGTCTTTAGTTAGTTTTATTTATTCATTTTTATCGAGGTATAACAGGTTCAGGGGTACAATATAGTGATTCAACATTTGTATACATTGCAAAATGATTACCATGATGAGTCTAGTTACCAATTGTTCCCATACAAAGCTAATACAATATCATTGACCATATTCCCTATGCTGTGCATGATCTCCCCATGACATTTATTTTATAATGGTTCTCCTTGATCCTTGATATATATATATATATATATATGTGTATATATATTCCACATCTTCTTTATCCATTCATCTGTAGATGGCTAGTTAGTTTGTTTTTCATTCTTGGCTACTGTAAATAGTGCTGCAATGAACATAGGGGTACATATATCTTTTCAAATTAATGTTTTTGTTTTCTTTGAATACATACCCAGTGGTGGAATTGCTTGATCCTGTGGTAGTTGTATTTTTAATTTTTTTAGGAATCTCCATAGTGTTTTTTGTAGTGGCTGCACCGATTTACATTCCCACCAACAGCGCACAAAGGTTCCCTTTTCTCTGCATCCTCACCAAAACGTTATTTTTCACCTTTTGACAATAGCCATTCTGACAGGTGTAAGGTAATAGCTCATTGTGGCTTTGATTTGCATTTCCCTGATGATTAATGATGTTGAGCAACATTTCATGTACTTGTTGGTCATTTTTTTGGAAAATTTCTATTCAGATCTTCTGTCCATTTTTTGATTGGATTGTCTGGTGTTTTTGTTATTGAGTTGTATGAGTTCTTTATATATTTTGGACATTAATCTCTTATTAGATATATAATTTGGACATATCTTCTTCCATTCATTAGTTTGCCCTATTTTTTTTTTTGTTTTTTGGGTTTTTTTTTTTTTTGATGATTTCCTTTGCCATGCAGAAGCTTTCATAGTCCCATTAGTCGATTTTCCCTTTTTGTTTCCCTTGCCTTTATAGTCAGTTCCCTAAAAAGCATTGTTAAGTCCAATGTCAAGGAGCTTACTGCCTACATTTTTTTTTCTAGGAGTTTTATGGTCTCAGGTCATATATTTACCTCTTTCATCTATTTTGTATTAATTTTTGTATGTGGTGTATGATGGTGGCCCAGTTTTATTTTTTTGTATACAATTGTCCAGTTTTCCCAACACCATTTATTAAAGAGATTGTCATTTCCCTGTTTTGTATTCTTGCCTCATTTGTCATAAATTAACTGATATATGTGTAAGTTTCTCTTCCACTGTTCTATGTGCCTATTTTTATGCTGATTCCGTACTCTTTGGATTACTATGGGCTTTGTGGTATAATTTGAAACAAGGGAGCATGATACCTCTAGCTTTATTTTTCTTTCTCAAGATTGTTTTGTCTTTTCAGTTTCTTTTGTGGTTCTGTACAAGTTTTGAAATTATTTGTTATAGTTCTGTGGAAAATGTCATTTGAATTTGTAGATTGCTTTGAGTAGTATGGACATTTAAATAATATTAACTCTTTCAATTCATGAGCATGGAATATCTTGTCATTTATTTGTGTCTTCTTTAATTTCTTTCGTCAGTGTCTTATAGTTTTCAGTGTATAAGTTTTTCACCTCTGTAGTTAAATTTATTCCTAGGTATTTTATTCTTTTTGATGCAATTGTAAATGGGATTATTCTCTCGTGTTCTCTTTCGATAGTGCATTATTAGTGCCTAGAAATACAATAGACTTTTGTATATTAATTTTGTATCCTGCAACTCTACTAAATTCATTTATACTTCTAACAGTTTTTTGGTGGAGTCTTTAGGGTTTTCTATATAGTATTATGTCATCTGCGACTACTGACAGTTTTATTTCCTTCTTTCCAATTTGTGTGCCTTTTATTTCTTCTTTTTGCCTAATTGCTGTGGCCGGTTCTTCCAATATTATGTGGAATGAAAGTGGGGGAGAACAAGCATCTCTGCCTTGTTCTTGATCTTAGAGGAAAGCTTTTAGATTTCCAACATTGAGTATGATGTTAACCATGAGCTTGTCATATATGGCCTTTATTATGTTGAGGTATGTTCCCTCTATAGCCATTTTGTTGAGAATTACTGTCATAATTAGATGTTGAGTTTTGTCAAATACTTTCTCTGTGTCTATTGAGATGATTACATCATTTTTTAATCTTTTGTTTTGTAAATGTGGTGTACCACAATGATTGATTTGCAGATGTTGAACCATCCTTGCATCCCTGGAATAAATCCTTCTTGATCAATAAATCCTTCTTTGATCCTTTTAATGCATTGTTGAATTTGTTTTGGTAATATTTTCTTGAAGATTTTTGCATCTATGTTCATCAGGGCATTGACCGCTAATCTTCTTTTTCTGTGGTGCCCTTGTCTAGTTTTGGTATCAATGTAATGCTGACCTCATTACAGGAGTTTGGAAATATTTTTTCTCTTCCATTTTTTGGAAGAGTTTCAAAAGGACAGGTGTTGAATCTTCTTTGAGTGTTTGGTAGAATTCACCAATGAAACCATCTAGTCCTAAGCTTTTTGTTGTTGTTGTTGTTGTTTATTACTAACTTAATCTCCTTACTAGTAATCAATCTACTTAAATTTTTTATTTCCTCATGATTTGGTCTTGGACGACTATAACTTATTAGGAATTTATCCATTTCTTCTAGGTTGTCCAATTTGTTGGTGTATAGTTGTTCCTAGTATTCTCTTATGATCCTTTGTATTTCTATGATATCAGTTGTAACTTCTCTTTCACTTCAGATTTTATTTATTTGAGCCTCCTTTTTTTCTTGGTGAGTCTAATTTTATCTTTTAAAAAAAAACAGCTCTTAGCTTCATTATACTTTTTATTGTCTTTTGGTCTTTATTTCATTCATTTCCACTCTGATCTTTATTCTTTCCTTTCTTCTACTCAATTTGGACATCATTTGTTCTTCTTCTAGTTCTCAAAGTTTCACCCAAAATCCCGCATTTGGTGCAGTGACACACAATTGGGAGGGATCTTACCAGCGTGGTGCTTCTCCTGGAGGAGTGAGGGGTTTGTGCCCCACATGAAGAACCCTAATCCCCGGGATCTGCATGGAAGAGACAAGCCCCTAAACTGTTTTTCACTGGGTCTCGGGGTGAGTGAGACCACGTATGAGCCCTTTAAAGGGGAATCTCAGGTTTCTATAACACTTTGGGTTCCATAGACATCAGGCCTTTTGCTTTTTTAAGCTAGATGTTTTGTTACCTGCCAGGATGTGGTCCTTTTATCCTTTGTTGTAGAGAAGCAGTCCATCTAGTTTTCAGATCATTCTCAGAGGAAAATGGCCCATATATAGCTGTACCTCTGGTGCAGTCTGGGAAGGGGTGAGTTCAGGGACTTTCTATACCACCATCTTACACCTTCTTCCTCCACGCTGCTTTCTAATACAAGGGCAGCATTTTCTTTAGTATTTCTGATGATACCAACTTACAGTGAATTCTGATTTTTAATTGAGTTGTTCTTCACCTATTTTTCTAGGAGGGATATTAATACTCATTTTGTATTTGGTATTTGTTGAAGGAAAACAATGCCATTTCACCCGTCCATGTGGAGGGACTTCTCTAGAGCAGGGTGTCTCAATATTAACTCTACTGACATCTTGGACTGGGTAATTATTTGCTGGAGGGGTTGTCCTGTGCATTGTCAGATGTGTAGCAATATCCCTGTTCTTTGCCCGCTAGATGCCACTAGTATTGTTCCTCCATAGTTGTGACAACCAAAAATGTCTCCAGATGTTGCCACCTTTTCTGGGGGAAAGGAGCAAAATCACCACTATTGAGAAACAGTGCTCTTAATCAAACCTTGATATAATGAAATATTCTTTACCCTCATTGAGTTATTTTACTGAATTGGGAAGAATCGCCTGGATTCAGTGTTGCAACATGTACCTTTAGGGGATCCCTGAAGTCAGAAATCACCTTTCTCAGCCCTACAGGGTAGACCAGGCTCCCAGCCAGGAAGCCTGCAACCTGGTGGCCTTTTGGCTATTTTCAGCCAACCCCCTCACTAAAGCTTTCACTGGTAAGAACATGACGTTGTATTCTCCATGTATCTGACATCATCAGTTTTGAGGTTGACCCGTGGACCCCAGCAATCTCCTTCTTTTGAATTGCTCTGTCTTTGCGTATAGCTGGTCTATGGTTTTCCATCTTTAATGAAATCCTTTTAATGTTGGCCAATATCATAGTTGAGATGGTGTGTATTCATCATGGTGAACCACCATGTGGTTCTCAAGTCAATGATCAGATTGACTCAAGCGCTCATCCCTTTGGAGACTGAGAGTAAGTGGTCATGGGGGGAAGCCAGGCAGTCGGCAGAACCGAATATCGTACCAAATGTGCTCTTTTCTTAAATCCCACGGCAGTTCCACATGTTTCTGTTCCAAATAATCCGTCTAGAATCAATTCTCCTAAAGCCCAGTCTCATCTGAAGATCTAGTTGCCCAGGGACTAATCCTCCTAAAATCTAACACTTCAACCCTTTGCGAAAAAAATGCCTGTTTTATGTTTTATGAAGGTGGTTTTGATGCTTTATCTACTTTTTAACCTTTTAAAGAATTATTAGTCAGTTGATTTAAGACTTTATTTCATAATGTCAAGTTCTTGCTTTACATTTGTCTGGTAATGATGTTTCAGACACCATTTTGTGTTTAAAATCTAGTATTTCTAGTATTTTTTTCAAATTATAAATAGTAAAAATAAAGGAGTGGCATTTAGTAAAAATATGGCTCAGCCCTCTCACTTATTAATTTTTGCTGTCAAAGAGTCAGAGCCTTGCTAAATAAAGTCCACTGGTAATTTAACTAATAAATATAGAAATTAGGAAAAGTTACAGATGGAAAAAACAGCAAAAAAGAGGCTTGTACATTTTGACAAAACATATATTATAAATGCAGTTAAAAATCATCCAATGTATTATTTGCCATTTTTAAGTATTTTATATGAGCTAAATACAGAAAAAGATATTATTTTACACCCAACAAGAGAAGAGTGAAATAATTTCATGTCATCCAAATGATGGGTGATTACGAAGGGATTAAATCATTTTTCTAATGGCTAATAATATCATGAACATTGTATTTAGACTTCTTATTACCATCCATACGCCATGGCTCATAATAGAGTGGTGCCTAAACCATAAGAACATTATCTTAATTTTTTTTTTACATTTTTTTAAAGATTTTATTTATTTATTTGAGAGAAAGAATGAGAGAGAGAGAGCAGGAGGGGGGGGAGGTCAGATGGAGAAGCAGACTCCCCGCTGAGCAGGGAGCCCGATGGGGGACTTGATGGGGGACTCGATCCCGGGACTCCAGCATCATGACCTGAGCCGAAGGCAGTCGCTTAACCAACTGAGCCACCCAGGCGCCCCGAGAACATTATCCTAATTTGCCCTCAAAGAGAACAAGTGTGATCTGGCAGTGTGGTGAGCTGTACAGTCATCTGTAAATGGCAAGAAAGTCATAATACACACAAAAGTAAAATAGAGCTTTGAAAAATATAAGGAAATACATATGAAAACTAAATCAAAAGAGCCACTATGATTTAATAGAAGTTAAAGCCATTGTGAAGCAGAGCAAGGAAGATGGATCTGGCTGCGGAAAAAGGGAAAGAGTTCGGGATCCACAGTGAAGCTACAGTAATTTAGATCATGGTGAAGGGGCACAGGGATGGCCAGAGAGATGACTGAGCATGTACGTGGCTGGGGGGGGGTTTCGTCCCACCGCACAACCCATTCCGTCTCATTGCTAAATTCTTTCTTCTTCTTCATCTCCAAATATTCGATTCTCCAGTCCTGAGGGCACCGGACCTCTTCTGATCTTTATTTATAATTATTCCTTGGACGGTTCCTTCATTTTGTTCTATTTCCGTGCTAATGCGTTTCTCCCTTGTAACTCCAATGCTGCTATTGTCCAGGACCTCCTGACGTCAGCAACCAGCCATTGCCTCCACTCTTCACTTGTGTGTCTAATAAGGATATAAAAAACATATCCCAATAAGCTCCTGATTGGCACCTCCAAACTCCTTTCTCACCTCCAGATTTTCCTTTCACAATAAATGGACACATTTATTCATCCATGTGCACAAGCCAAAATCCCTAGGATTTGTCCTCAATTTTTGTCTCATGCAATTGGAAAGCAGTAGCTAAACTGAATGAATTAGATCAATGTACATGAACATGTACAGTGCTTACATAAATAATTTGAATTTTAAAAATACAGAGGATTTCTACAATGCTACAAATGTCCACAGTCTTTAAAACACACTATTAATAATATATAGTATCTTAAGAGCATCAATATGCAGTTTAAAAAAGAACAATTTTCCACCATGAAGAGAGAAAACTGAGGCTGGGTTTGAATGAAACTTTAAATATATCTATGGTTTAGCTTCTTAAAGATAATCTAAATCAAACATGGCAAAATGTGACTATGTATTCAGTTGGCGTGTTTCTAATGTTACCTTCTGTTCTTTTATCTCGCTTTCGGTAATATATTGCATGATGTAAATAAAGAACGGGGAGCAAAGAGAAAGCATTGCCACAGATGCCCCATTCTCTAGGTTCTGTAAGGTCTTCCAAGGAATGAACTTTGCAGAACTAAAAGGTTTTCTGAGGACAGGCAAATAAACCCAGAATGGGATTGTTTGTTTATTTAATGGTTGGCAATGTTATAAATATTTCACTGAACACCACTCAGGGAGGAATCGTTCTGAATGCACAATAAAAATCAAACAAGAAATACGACGGAGGAAAATGTGCACTAGATAAACCCATGTCTGCCATTTTCCAGTCATATATCAAGGTAGCCATGGCAGTGGGCCATTTGCCGAAGAGGAAAAAGTGGTCGGCTCTCAGGTTAGACAAAGGTGCATTTTTGTCCTTGGTTTGCCTATGGGTAAGTCATTTTACTGTTTAACCCTCCTGGCTTATATTTAGTGGGCACTTTTAAAGATTTTATTTATGTATGTATTTTAAAGAGAGAGAGAGAACATGAGCAGAGGGATGGGCGGAGGGAGAGAGAGAGAGAATCTCAAACAGACTCTGTGCTGAACATGGAGCCCAACACGGGGCTCAATCCCAACTCTGAGATCATGACCCAAGCTGAAATCAGGAGTCCCATGCTTAGCTGACTGAGCCACCCAGGCGCCCCAGTGGACACTTTTAAATTCTCTATTAGCACAAGACTTAAATGATAGTAGATCATCAAAAAAAAAGAAAATGCCGATTTTTCTATTTTGGGTAATTTTCTTTTTAAATGCAGTCCCCTCCTATTTAATTTCCTGCAGGAGATCAGGACACTTATTTTGAGCAGCCTGGAACTGTGGCAGGCGACAGCTAACAGACCACCTTGTCGGTCCATTAACTGTAACTCATTTGGAGAAATAATTGATAGCAGGACATCTACCCAGCATTATCGTCACGGACTTTGTCTTCTTTCTTTCAGAATTTACTTGCAACATGTAACCCTTCTTGGAAGAAATACGTCTGGCTGAAGTAGCATTGCAGAAAGGATGTTTAGCTGGTTTTCTCATTTTGGGCGCCACAACTGTGATCCGCTTGGGTTTAGGTCAGTGTTCATCACAACTCCTGCAGGCATTAGGAAGTTGAAAAAATAAGTTGTGTGGTATGAATACACCCGTGTGACTGAGTGAAATTAATACAGATTATTATAGATCTGATTAAGAAGTACACACATACGGTAATTGCAAAGGCTGTTTCTCAAGGGTCTACCATAAACTTTTTGATTAGTATTTTAATCAAGGCAATTAGCATCAGCTGATATAAAAATAAGATGCTGCAACAGCTTAATACAGCCAAGTTTCTATCTCATTCGTGTTCCACTGATGTGTGTTGGTAGCTCTGGTCGGTGACTGTCAGATCTAGTCCCTTCCACTCTGTCCTGCTGCCATGTTGAAAAGGAGACGGTCCAAGGATGGAGGGGTGGGGACGGGAGATTTACCAGGATGGGAAGCATGGAAGCTGCGTCCTACCTAGAGCCTCACGTGGGCTCCATTCACCTCTGGCTTCCAGCTGGGGTCAACTGATAGGAAGCACTGACAGGATATCAGAAGTCAGGAGGAGAGATCACCCATTCATTTATTCCTCTCCAGCCACCTCCAAGCAGGAAATGATTTGTTAGTGGCAGCTCCAGTTCCATGCCTATGGTTTGCACAGCTTTCAATGTCCCTGTTCCCTTCATTCCTCAGGGCTGGGTGACGGTGGCTCTCTACTCATCCATTCCTTACACCTTCCCATCACCTGTTGGCATCCTAGCCTTGCCCACATCTCTGTAAGTAGCCCATTCATTAGAGTCTCTTCAACAACATTTGAGATGCATCAACACCGTGCTGGGTACAGTCGGCTACCTCACTTTCACTCATGTGCTATCATCCAGAACATATTTAGATGGTCCCGCCTAAGAGGCTAGACATGTCATCCCTGGCACCCCGGGGAAAATGGCACTGGGTTCCTGAGCATCTCGCCAGTCTCTGCTTCAGCCTGCCATTGCAAAGGGTCCCACGGGGGCCATTGGTGTCATAGTGTATTAACATAACTTAACTCTGCAGTTAAGGTGTTGGTGACCAAATACATTTGAGAAATGTTGAGCTAAGGAAGCTTGAACTGTTTCTAATATTTTAATCAAAAACCAGCAGAAACGTAATGTGCTAATGTGCAGGAAGCAGTCTCCAAGACTGAAATGTTGTCTGCATATTTTCACTCTGGGAACCCATATTTCTCAGGAAGCAGCTGATATGACTGAAGCTCTTTCCCGGGAAGTCAGTTTTAGAAACGCTGTTGTGGTTCTTTCTCAGTAAGCAGCTGGTGGGTCTATCAGTAACTTTGTCTCAGGGAATATTTTCTGAGCTGGTCACATCAGGTTTCTCTTTTTCCAATCTCTGCCTTATTTCTCTCGTGTGTGGTATACTATTCTTGTCCTACATCCTCCTCACTGGCCCCTTGTAATGTTTCATTTTTCAGCACATGCAAAAGGTTCATTCTTTTATCTTTCTTTTTTTTTTTGTGGAGTTCTCACATACAATTTACCATGTCTAATAATTAAAATAACTAATATAAAAATGTCTTACAATGTAGAGTCTTTTGAGCACAATCAAATCTTTTTTTTTAAGATTTTATTTATTTATTTGACAGAGAGAAACACAGTGAGAGAGGGAACACAAGCAGGGGGAGTGGGAGAGGGAGAAGCAGGCTTCCCGCTGAGCAGGGAGCCCGATGCGGGGCTCGATCCCAGGACGCTGGGATCATGACCTGAGCCAAATGCAGACGCTTAACGACTGAGCCACCCAGGTGCTCCTATTTTGAGCACAATCAAATCTTCCTTTGATATCTCAGTGGACATTTTGGATACCCATTGTCTTCATTCTATCAATATTGATTGTAACACACAAAATTCAGATGAAATTAATTCTAGATTTTTAATGTTTTCATGACAATGAGTTTCTATGGTTGAGTTTACATTAATAACATCTGGAACAGACTCATGGGGTTTAAACAGTTTGATCTTCAAAAATATGTGTAGTCTTCAGAACAACAGTTTGAAAAAGGTTCATTCTTAATTCTTATGTTTGCAACTTCTTAGATTTACGTTCAACATAACCTTTATCGGTGACAATGGATTCGCCCAATATGCTCAGCAAATCCTGCTCCTCGTCATCAGTTATTGACTCATCATTTGTAGACCACCAAGATGAAGACAGTGGGGGTGAATATAATCATTTTAAAATCATGTGTTTACCACTTTCCCAACCTCATCTGGGAGTTCATCCCCTTAAAGTCTTCCCGAAGAGTTCAGAGAGTCAAGGATCAGAATCAGAAAAGGCATCAAAATGCCTATTTCGATCAGGTACTTTGCGTCATCATACAAGTATTATCTCTTTTAACACCTCAATAAACCTCATAGGGTAGGTTCTAGTATTGCTTCCATGCTACGGGCATCACTAATCAAGGCTTACTGACATTGAAGAAATCACCCTAGTAACATTGCTAATCAGTAACAGAGGGAGGGTTTAACAACAACAAAATAAATAAAATAAAATAAAATAAAATAAAATAAAATTATTGCTGCCCCGATGGTGCCATGGGAGAAGGGTGGGCTGATGCAATCGGGGGACAGAAGGAATTTTTTTTTTAAAACTTACAGGAGACAATGTTCTTATCTCAGGACTGAAAGCACAGTGTGAAAAAGAGAAGCAATGGGAAGAAAATGAACTCTTGCAACAGACAAAACAAAACTTTAAATAACATTCTCAGAACAACATAGAAGCCAAATAAGCAGTTATGTCGAAGAACCAATTAGAGATACGGACTTTGATAAATATAAATATTGAAATGAAGTGCTCAAAGTATGAGTTGAATAGCAAAATGGATTTGCTAAAATAAAATCAGTAAGCTACCAGACAAGGTCAAAAACTCTACCAGAATTCATTAGTAATGGATAAAGGACAAAGAGAGAAAAGCTAACAGCCAGGAGAGGCAAAAAATACAAGCATTTTTGCATGTAAAAGAAATTACAGAATGTATGAAACACATAAGAACTCAAACCGAAAGCACACATAAAGTTCAAACAGAAGAGATAAAGGAACACAGAAATACCATCAGATATAATTAAATTTTAAAATAGAAAAAAATACGAAATTTCAGAGAATGAAGATGTCACAAAAAATGTAAAATAAAAAAAATTACTCAAAGCTTAGAACAGACACTGAGACGGGATATCAGCACGAGTGAAATATATGGGAGTGATGGTGAGGAGCAGGGCAGGAGACAGAGAAAAGGGAAAGAAAGCCCATCGAGATTATTGATGCAACAATAATTGTCTTGTGAAGTTGGAGACAACTGTATTGAGTGGACAAGTGATTCCACCGCCAGGTATTTAAGCAAGAGAAAGGAAAGTTTCTGTGCACAAAATATTTGTTCATAGCAGCTTTCTTTATAAAAGCCCAAACTGGGAAAGACCAAAGACTAAATGTCCGGTCATCAGATGGAATGACTAATTGTAGTCTATGGAATAATGGGTTGAAAAGGTCAAAAGAACATATTGATTACAGATACACACAATATATGGATGCTGGTCCAAAGCATTCTGCTGAGTTAAAGGAGAACCTGGAGGGTACACAGCACATAGGGCCACACAGTGAGCTCAAGAGGAGAGAAAGAGAGAGAGAGAGACAGAAAGCGTGAAGGCCTGGGGTTCTGCCTTTATTGGGGTCCAGAGTGAGGGCCTAGGGTTTTGTGGGTTCACTTCTTATTGGTGAATTTCTTTACTTATTTTTAAGGTTTTATATATTTAATTTGAGAGAGAGAAAGAAAATGTGAGTGGGGGGAGGGGCAGAGGGAGAGGGAGGGAGAGAATCTCAAGCAGACTCCCCACTGAGTGTGGAGCCCGGTGCTTGGAGCTCAATCCCAGGACCCTGAGATCATGACCTGAGCTGAAATCAAGAGTCAGATGGACCACCCAGGCACCCCTTTATTGGCACATTTAAAACACAAGAGCAAGAATTGGGGAATTAGAAAACGAAAAGTGGGGTCACCCAAATGGATCTGTGACTCAGGTCACCCAGGGCTTTCCACTAGAGGACTTCATGCTGGGGTGGCCTGGCTCCTGGCTAGTAGTTTAGCTACTAGCATTCGAGAAGGATGTCTTTGATGTGTCTGCCTCAGCAATCAGAAAGCTTAATGTCCGGCACTTACATTACAGTAAAAAAGCTCACTGTCCTAGGCAGTTAACCTTTACTCTTTCCCCTCTGTCTATATGTCTATGAAGTCCATGCAGGATTCTATAAAGCAGTCTGAGAACTATTATTTTCTCCATTTTACAGAGGAAGACGCTGCAGCAAAGCGAAATGGAGACATTTGCCCATGGCATACATCGAATGTGTGTCACGGCTGGGACAGCACCCAGTATCTGTCTCTAGCCCTGTGCCAGCAAGCGCTACATGAAGGTGAGAATTGTTTTTAAGTCAATCTGGGACCACAGAGGGGGGAAAAAATAAAAATAAAAATAAAACAAAACAAAAAAACTTTATTCCACTACAGAAGGTTGAGAGAAAGTTTCGGAGAGAAAGTGGCCTGTGAGCTTTTTTCTTTTTTTTTTAATGTCAAGTTTAATTTTCAAGTTAAATGAATCCTATTGCTCCAAGTCCTAGACTCAGTATTCTGAAAAAACCCAGGCACTCCGTGAAGTGTCTGCAGGGGCAGCTCAGGGAGGGGTTCCAACTGTGGGGTGGGGGGGTGCTTTGACCAGAACACTCTGCTCTAGCCTGTTTGATAAATGCGGATTCCTTGTAAGACGTGCTTGGAAAACAAGATTCCAGTGCATTTGCAGAAGAATTGTTGGGACCCACACAGCCATTTCAGGATGGAAGGGAACAGGCTAAGAGTTTCAGGGGTCCCGGTAACCACCGTCTAAGAAAATAAACCTTATTAATTCCACCCTCTGAGCGAAGACTGACCTCAGATGAAATAAAAACCCCAATCAAGTGTTTTAATCCAAACCAGGTAAGCAGTCCATTTTTTTCAGTGAGAAATTTATTTTTTTTATTGTTTTTAAAGATTTTTCTTATAGAGAGAGCACAAGTAAGCAGAGAGGCAGGCAGAGAGGGAGAAGCAGGCTCTCTGCTGAGCAGGGAGCCCGACGCGGGGCTCGATCCCAGGACCCCAGGATCATGACCTGAGCCGAAGGCAGCCGCTTAACCGACTGAGCCACCCAGGCGCCCCCGGTGAGAAATTTAAAAATACATATATAGTGTCTCTTTAATGCACCATGTAATTTCTGCTTGTCTTTTCCAGTTTTAAAAGAAGCGACGCACGTATGTGGCTGAGATCTGGAGAAATCATCATTGCCTGGGAACTGTGCCGGGTAAGGTGCAAGGATTTCGTTTTGCCGAATGATGATCTCAAGGCAACCAAACGGCCTGAGTCAAAAAAACTGCCGAGGGGCGCCTGGGGGGCTCAGTTGGTGAAGCATCTGCCTTCAGGTCATGATCCCAGGACTCTGGGATCGAGCCCCACGACCGGCTCTCTGCTCAGTGGAGAGCCGGCTTCTCCCTCTCCCTCTGCCTGCCACTCTCCCTGCTTGTGCTCTGTCTCTATCTCTGTTAAATAAAAAAATCTTAAAAAAAAACCCAAAAAACAAAAACAAAAAACACTGCTGAACATGATGATGTTTACAGAAAAAAAAAATGACCATTCTCTTCGTTTATATGACTCATTCGAATCACCTAATATTTTGCCTTACCTAATTTCAGTTTGAAGCGCACAGCAAATTTCAAAGTCCGGGATGTCTGTTTCTTTGCATTTTTCATATTAGACAAATATAGACAAATAAAACAGCGAAACCGACGACTACATTCAGGTTAAGGAGCCAAGCTCACCCCAAGTTTGATTCCTTCTGCTGTTACTACCACCTCCCGGCAAAGCACACGCAGTTCCTGAGTCCTAAAGCGCATTCTGAAATAGACGCCGAGATCCTCATTGCAAACGTGAGCAGGTGGACGGCGCAAGCAGTTAACGTGATTTTCCTCGGGAACCCTGTCTAGTGACCGAACTGGGATTCAGATTCTGGTTTACTGGGACCTGGGGCCACCTTTCTGGCCGGTACAGACTCCACTGTTTATTTTCAAACCCGGCAGACATTCACATTCGTGTCTTGCGTTCAAGGCACGGTTCGGTATATCTTACTATTGGACCAACCTTTATTTTCGCATTTAGCTGGGAGGACGTCAAAGTTGCCGTTGAGAAGAAATAAAAGAAGAATCAAGGCAGACAGACCTTTGTCTGAGAGCCTGTATTGTGCCTTTCTCCAGAGGTCCAGCTGAGCTGACAGCTGACCCAGTGGGTGCTGGGGTGGAACATACCCAAACTTCACTTAATACCACCACCGTTTACCTGCAGGGAACATAAAAATGCGCTCAGTGGAGATGTCGCTGCTGTCACTTCCCTGCATCATCCCAAGCACCACCCCGACTGTCCTGCAGCCAGAACTTAATGGCTCAGAAAAACCCAAGCAAGTTCGAAAGTATCACATATCCCTGTTTGCATCCAGGACAGTCAGTTGAGACAGCAAAAGATTGGATTTTCTTTCTGGTTGAGTTCTTGGTGATATTTTTGTAAGTGCTAATCATGCTTCAAGGCCAAACGCAAAAGTCTTCTTTGTTTTGATGTCCTCCTTGATCCCCCATGGCAGAATTAATTGATCCCTCTGTGTTTTTATAGCTCTTTGTTTATATCTCTGCAACGAAAGCTTCAAAGGAATTCCCAAGCCTTTGAGTCAAAGCTGCTGATCAGACCGTGGGAAGGCAGATGGAGGGAGAGAGGCTTACGGAGAGAGCTTTTGTGGGGAAAGGTGGGCTTACTGCCACCCCACCTTCGGACTCCTTTTCATACAGCAGGTGGAGTAAGGGGGGGGGTGGCAGCAAATTAGGGAAAATACGGCAGAATGCAATTCGGTGTGCACCAGGTAAGCAGTCCATTTCCCTGAGAGGGCTTCACGGCTTCCTGTTTCGTGGAGATAGGCAGTCGAACCAAACCAGGGGAGGCAAGGTTCCAGAGGGATGGGAGTGAGGTGTGGCCCCTCCAACACGCATGTTCGTGGGTGCAGAAGGCTCCCAGCTTAGCAGGGTAGGGGCTCCAGGCAAGGGCAAGGATAAAGCCACACACGTGTCCTGGGAGCATGGGGTCTTGCAGGAACCTGAGATGCAAAGACAGGAGACATTTGCTTCACACCTCAAGGGCCCCCGTCCTGTCTACATTCCAAGGTGAGGAACTGGGCGTTGCTCACTCTCCTGGCATCCACACTTGGACAGCGAGTTCACTATCATTTGCAAGAGTGTAAACGGGGAATCTGGGCTTTCGTTCCGGGTTTCAGCTGTAGCACTACAATTCTAGCCGAGTGATCTGAACATAATGCTACTTTATTCTCTGAGCCCCTATTTTATCATTTGTAAAGATGGGATAACGTTTCACATTAGCTTTATTCTGTGTGTGTGTGTGTGTGTGTGTGTGTGGTGAAAACACTTAAAATCTACTGTCTTGGCAAATTTCAAGTTTGCATTACTGCATTATGAACTCGAGTCACCCGGCTGTATGTTGAATCCCCAGAGCTTACTTCTCTTATAACTGGAGCTTTGTACCCTTTGAGCAGCCAATGTTCCCCGTCTCTCCCACCCCCACGCCCATCAACCACCATTCTACTCTGTTTCTCCAAGTTGGATTTTTTTAGATTCCACGTATAAATGATACCACGCAGTGTCTTTTTTTGTATCTAGTTTAGTCCATTTGGCAAAATAAATCAACTTTGCTTCAGATCTCCAAATTTTATACTTTTTCCAGGTACAGCCAGAGCCTCCCCAGAGACAGCCCCACCCAGAAATGGTTCTCTTCTTTCCCCATGAACACCTTGCTTCCTTATGCCGTAAACTCCGTACATATTACCTTTTTGTGTATTTTAAGTTTACATAAATAACACTGCATGTAATATTTTACAAATTGCTTCGATGGATATCATGTTCTGAGATTTATCCACGTTGATACATGTAAAGCATGTTTTTTCATTTTCATTTGGGTGTGGTTCTCCACTGTTATAAATAGAACCTATAGTAATGGTCAGTTTGCATTTTTCCATATTTTTATTTTTATATACAGTACTGCACTGAACAGCCGCATACATTTGGAGAGCACACGGGAGTTTCTCTATAGAACATTTAAAATGAAACAAGGAGGTAAAGACCATGCTTTTCATTTCTCCAGGTGTAGCAGATCTGCTCTTCAGAAACACCTGCATAGTTTCAGCTCAGACCCATTAGTTGTGACTCCGACACTTTCATCAAGAAAGGAGCCGAACAGACTGAAAACCAGTGACTCTCCCAGACCTGTGACACAGCAGAGGTTGCCGGACAAATGGCCACCCAGCAGTCTACAGGGACAGGCGAGTATGGGCTATACAGTCTGCACCAGCTCCCCTGGAGCGCAGTTGGTGGAACTGTAGACTGAGCAAAATACTTCGGTGGCCATTTTGCCGAGTAGCTGGAGGAGGCGTATGGACTAGCATGAAAGACAGAAACTGCTGGGGCCCCCACACGCTCATGGGCTTCCCCTCCGGGAACCCTCAAAGTCCTCACCAAACAACACAACAAAATTCCCTCTTGTCTCTGGGGAAGAGCAACCATTGCAAAACAAGTCCAGAGGATTCCCTGTAGCAAAGACTTGGGAGGAGCCTGATCTCACCTCGGGAAGGGACAGTGACCCAACTCCAGACCCTGCTGCATTCCCAACTTTCCTAAGGGGGAGAAGAAACACAGCCCGATACAGACCTGCTGAAGTCAAAGTGTGATGGCAGGATTATAGAAGAAAATGTTTCAAGGGAAGCCTGACCCGAGCTGGAGCTCTTATGGAAATGCAAAAGCCACTCGGGAGGCAAACACAGGACATTGAAGGGATTCACAGCCTCTGGTACCTACAGCTATGGGGAAATTCAAACACAGCTCGAGGGTGGAGACTTTGGAGCCCTCATACGCAGCCGTGGGGGATGCAAATTTGTGGTGCTGCTGTTGAAACAGTCCAGAAGCTTCTCAAAGGATGAGGCAGAGAGTTTGCAGCAATTCCACTCCTAGGCGCACGCACAGAAGAATTGAGAACATATGTCCCCACAAACCTGTACCAGAGTGTTCACAGCAGTACTGTTCAAAATGGCCCCAAACAAGGAAGCAACCCAAATGCCCCCCAAACAGCACACACGAAATGTGCCCATCCGTACAATGGAGCTGTACAGAGGAAAGAAGTTCTGACACCTGCTACAGCACAGACAGACCTCAAGGACACCATGATATGGGAACAAAGCCCCTCGCGGAAGACCACACACTGTACGATTCCACTCCACGAAACGTCCAGGATGGGCAACTTCCTAGAGACAGACAGCAGAGACTGTGGTTGTCGGGGCTTCTGGCGATCTTGTGGTGACCTTGTGGGGGGCAGGGGAGTCTAAAGCACTGACAAAACGTTGTAAACTCGAGAGGTCCACCTTGCTCCGAGTGTACTAAAAAACAACTTGCTTTTTTTTTTTTTTTAAGATTTATTTATTTATTTATTTTAGAGCGAGAGAGACAGAGCAGGGGAAGGCGCAGAGGAAGAGGGAGAGAGACTGTCAAGCAGACTCCGTGCTGAGCGTGGAGGCTGTTTTGGATTCTCTCTCTCACTGCCCCTCCCCACTCTTGCTCTCTCTCTCTCTCTCTCAAAATAAATAAATAAATACATCTTTAAAAAAATTCAGTCCCTTAGGAGACAGAACAATTATAAATATGTATGCACTTAACAACAGAGCCTCCATATAAGCTGCACAAAGCAATGATTTTGAAGAGAGCACGCCAGTTGTCAGTGAGAATTGGACATCTCGATGCCCCACTCTTAATCATGGGTGGAAAAAGTAGCGGAAGGCCAACAAAGACACAGAGGACTCAAAACACACTATTAACCACTTAACCCACATTATCCATCGAGTACTCCACCCGACAGTCGTGGGACACACATTCCACTCAAGTGCATTCTGTATTGTTGCTTTTATTTTATGAAAAAACTAATTTTAAATCTACGTGACACTCAGCTAAAAACAAAATTTTAGTAAAGGAGTCCTGATGGTCTCGTTTGCACAATCACGACCACCGCCCTTTGGCCTTCGAATTTCAAGAAGGGCACCTGCAAGGGCTTTGTATTTGCATGTTTCTGTGTCCACGCATAGGAACGGAGTCCGCATCCATTGCCAGACGCTCTTCAATGAGTCAACCATCCAGTGTCTTCAGCTGGTCACTCTTTGGTAAAGAAATTACCTTCACCAACATTCCACCCCTGGGTCTCCTGCCATTTTCTATGATGGAACATATGTTAGGCTGTAAAACAAGTGTCAATACATTTTTTTAAAAGATTCACATTGTGTAACGTGTGTTTTCCAGCCACAGTGGGATGGAATTGAAAATCCACAGCAGAAGAAAGGTTGGGAAATCATAGTAAGTGGAAATGAAACATTTTGTTACTAAATAACTGATGAGTTTAATCGTTTTGGTGAAATGACTATTGAAAATTTGCCCATATGAAAATGGGGGTTTCTTTGTGGCTTCTCATCACAGAGTTGGGAGAGTTCCTTTTATCTTTTGGGTGCATCTCTTTTCAGAGAGATGATTTGCAAGCATTTTGTCTCAGGTCTGTGCCTTGACTTTTCCTTTCTTCATCATGGGCTTTGAAATGTAAAAGACCTTAGGTTTGATGAGGTTTAAGTTATCAAATTATCCTCTTACGGATTGTGTTTTATGATAATGAATCTCAGAACACTTTGCCCTTCCCATTATCCTGAAGATTTTCTCATATTCTGCTCTCGGAGAAGTTTTATAGTTTTATCACCTAAGTATAGATCGATTTGGGTTTCAATTTTTGTATGGTGGTATAGAGTGAAACAAAGATTTCAAAATTCTCTGCTTTGTTTTGTTTGGGGGGATTTTTTTTTGTCTGTCGATATCCAATGGTTCCACCAAGTTTTGTTGAAAAGTTATCCAATATAACCAATATAATATCCTATAAATATTGAATTGTTTTAGTATTTTTGTCAAAAATTGATTGATCATAAATGTAGGGATTTGTTTCTGGCCTTACATTTCTGTCCCATTAAGATGCATGTCTGTACACATGTCAATTAACACATTGTTTTGAGTACTGTTGATTTAAATTTTGAAATTGGGTACTTTCTCAATATCAGAAATTGCAATCCAAATGTTTTTCAATTTGGGGGGCTAGTCTAGATCCTTCACATTTCCATATAAATTTAAAATCAACTTTTGATAAAGATTGCCTTGAATTTATCAATCAATCTGAGAAGAATTGCCATCTTGAGAGTGTTAGTCTCTCAACCTATGAACATCAAGGGTCTCTCCATTTATTTACACCTTCTGTAATTTCTCTCAATGCTATTTTGTAGTTTGTGCTATACCAATTTTACACTTCTTTTGTTAAATGTATTCGTATCTACCTTTATTATTTTTGATACTTTTATAAAAGGAAGTGTCTTTTTTAAGATTTATTTATTTGAGAGAGAGAAAGACAGCAAGCAAGGGGAGGGGCAAAGAGAGAGAGAGGGAGGGAGGGAATCTCAAGCAAACTCCCCACTGAGCATGGAGCCTGACTTGGGGCTCGATCTCACGACCCTGAGATCATGACCTGAGTCCGATGCTCAACCAACTGAGCCATCCAGGAGCCCTAGGAAGTATCTTCTTAATTTCGTTTTGGATATTTTGTTACTAGTATATAGAAATACAATTGATTTTTTGCATTGATACTGTATCCTGCTAAATGAGTTTATTAGTTCTAATATTTGATTCCTTGGGATTTTCTTTTTTTTTAAAGATTTTATTTATTTATTTGACACAGAGAGAGCACAAGCAGGGGGAGTGGCAGGCAGAGGGAGAGGGAGAAGCACGCTCCCCTCTGAGCAAGGAGCCCGATGTGGGGCTTGATCCTGGGACTCCAGGATCATTCATGACCTGAGCTGAAGGCAGCCGCTTAACCAACTGAGCCACCCAGGTGCCCTCCTAAGGATTTTCTTAATGCAGGGTTGTGTCATCTGTGAATAATGATAATTTTTACTACTTTCTTTCTTTTTTTTTTTTTACTACTTTATTTCTAATCAGGGTGTTTTTAATTTTATTTTATTTTTGCTGGCCCTATTGCACTATCTAGAATGTCCAAACTATGTTGGGTAGAAGCAGCAAAAGCAGACATCCTTACCTTGTTTCCCATCACAAGAGCAAAGTATTCAAGTCTTTCATCCTGAAATATAGTAGCTGTAGGTTTTTGTGTAGCCCCTTCATTGGTTCGAGTGTTCCTTTTTAATATGAATTTTTGAGAGTTTTATCATGAATGGGTGAAGGCTTAGTTTGTGCTTTTTGCACATTTGTGAAAATGACTAAATTGCTTTTGTTCTTTATTCAAGTAATATAGTTTTGGAATGTCTAACCAACATTGAATTCCCTAGATAATCCAACTAAATCATAATATAAAATCATTTTTACAGGTTACTAGCTTCCATTACTAACAGTTTTTTTTAAAGGGATTTTTATGTTTATATTTACGAGAAATATTTTTCTGTCAATCTCATGATTTCTTTGACTTTGGAATCAGTATAGTATCATCTTGATATCTGAATTTGCAAAGCATTCATTCTTCCTATTATTTTCTTGAAGAATTTGTGAAATATTGGGAATATTTATTCCTAATTATTATTCCAAACATGAATTGACCAGGGAGGCTATCTGGAACTGGGCTTTTTGGGGTCATCTACTCAGTGTCTTTTTTTTTCCTTTTTCTTTTTTAATTTCTTCCCAGTAAGACCACCAGATCTGGTTTTAGGGTGAACCCCAACCTCTCCACAGACCTACTTATTTGGAAGTCTCTCTAGTCCTCTTTGGAACTGAACAGACTGTGAGTGAGGGTGAAATGATTTGGGGCCAATAAGATGTGAGAAGTTTCCTACTGCGGGATCTGGGAGAG